GTGTGTGTGTGTGTGTGTGTATATAAACCAATATATATATTGGTTAAAAACTATATATATAGGTTAAAACATATATGTATATATATTAGTTAAAATACACACACACACCCATATATACACACATATGTGTGTGTGTGTGTGTGTGTGTGTGTATTTTAAACCAAAGAACAAAAGGATTATATAAAGCTTAAAGTAACTTAATGATGAGATCAGTCTACTGGCAGAGACATAAAGGAGGAAAACTCCAGAAAGATTTGACCTTCATAATGCCCATTAGTGAGTTGATGAATTAGAACTAAACCCTACTCTTGCCTTTTCTGGAGCTACCCTCTCAGGGCAGAGAAAGTCAAAGGCAGTTCTAGGCGGGAGAAAATGTGCCATGAAGTTTTAGGAGGTGTTCAAAAAGATGCCCTTAGTTCTAGCTACCATATTTATTTCTGCAATAAGCGAACATTTCTGTTTTAATGTTATCTTATTTCATGCAACACAGCCAAACTCTGTGAATGTGATTTTTATATCAGTGATAGGGAAATCATATTAAATTTATGGAATTTGCTCTTTGTATGTATTTTGCTTGAATGCCCTGTTCACAAAGAGCCACAATTGTCAGTATTTTGTAAATTAGCCTTGACGAGGAAACAGAAAAACTGAGAAGAATGTCATTAGTCTAATTCAAAACAGAGACCAACAGAAATTAACTGAGGAATAGCATATCAGAACTATTTCAAGACTTTAATGGAAGAAAACTGGCCTTAGAACAATAGAAATTAAAGTAAAAATATTGTCTGAACCATGTCTGAAAATACTTGAATTTTCAGTCAAAAGTAATTTAGGGAGCCTCTACTGCATTAGAAAGCTAAAGTATTTTATCAAAATTTGTGAAAGGATTGTTTTGATATTACCAAATGGCTTACATAAAATTTAATAAATGTGAGATGAGGTTTCTGAGTGGACAAGAATAAATTCATTTCAATTTAAAGTCCACAAATATTTAAACATTCTGAAATGAAATTTATTTTTATTTTAACAACCATATGTAGGACAATTTTCAGGAAGACCCAATACAGATGTCTATGATCATCTATAACTGCCTGAAAGAAGAAAGGAAGATCCTGGAAAATGCCCAGAGATTCAATCAGGTAACTTTTTTGCTCCTAATTGAATACATCATCATCATTATAATTAATCATCAAATAAGGATCCATTAAGTCATCCTGCACATGTTAGTTAGGCATTGTTTAAGGAAGTGATGAATAGCCCTCTGATTTATAGCCCCAGAAGCGAGAAAAACCTAATCTATTTTATAGACCCAGACTTTAAGAAAGAACCCTAATTTAATGGAAATTATTCTAGTGAAGGAGAGAAACAACACACACACACAAACACACACACACAAATCCTTTCAGATGCTGATAATTGCTGTGAAGATAATAAACATGAAACAAAAACATATAATAAAGCATACTATAATAGTAATAATTGGATGTCTGGGGATGGGGGTGGGGTGGGGTCTGGAAAGTTCTCTGAGCTGTTGAGGCAGGAAAGGGAGTAGGCAGACAAGGAGGGCTCTTGCAGCAGCCAGGAAAGAGAAGATGAAAGTAGAAGAATTCAGGTTATATTCTAGACGTGGTTTGATAGGGCTTGTATTGCAGGATCAGATGTAGGACTGTAAGTGAAAGTTGAAGGATGACTGGCTCGACCTGAGTCACTTGGATGAAGAAGACAAAAAAGAAACAGGAGTAGAGTTTTTTTAGAGCACAGTAGATTAGAGAAGAACAAGTTAATGGGAAAATCAAGAGCTCTGTTTTGAATAGGATTGAGCTGCCTGCTAAATATTCAAGCTGTCCAGCAACTGAGTGAGTCAGAGTTGTACTATATCAAGTTTTTTGATCATGGTTTTATAACCCTAATGTAGACCTTCCTTCCAACCAGTGTCTAGCAGTTCTTTAAAGTTGTGGTGACATTTATTCATTCCTTTCTTGAGTGATGGGGTTGAGGGTGCGGGGGGCGGGGGGGGGCCAACCCAGCAGGCGGCATTGTGAAACCAGCATGTACAGGTTGTCCTGGCATGTACAGGTTGTCCCATTCCAATGCCTGGGTCCGGGGTGGGGGAGGGTAGGAAGGAGCGTGGGATACATGCAATGTGCGTTTCCCTCAGAAATAAGAAATAACTAACAGTGAACTCTATGATGATGGAGGAGGGGCCTGAGAGAGAAATTAAGTAGTGAAGGTGACTGCCATTCTCCATGCACTTCTGAGTATTTGCCTCAGTCCTCTTGAATCTGCTGCTTTTTAGTCATTTAGGTGCTGCCATCTCCTTGTCAGGAAAGAGACAGGAGCTACTGCTCTGAGCATGTAAAATGTACCTTGTTTGATCTACACTCAAGCTACTCCTCCTCTGAGACCTAGGCCTGACTTTAGCATGGTATCACCTGGGAGATTTCCAGCAGAAAATTTTGACTACGTAGAAAATTTTGATTCTCATCTTAACAATATATGACGGGCCACGTCTGCATTTCACATAGACTTGAGAGGATCCCCAGGAGCAGAGACAAATGCTCTCTATCTTTGCTCCCAAGCACTTTTTCTCCTTGTGATTGGATCTGAGCCCAGAATGAGCACTAGGAGCCAAGAAGATGATTTCTGCTCTTGCAGATCGCTCACTTCCTGGCAGTACTTTGGGTCTCCAAAGCTTCCAGCGATAATCTAGGGAGGGACTTCTGAGTTAGCAGTGGACAATTTTGGGGAGTTTAGTTGACTGGGCAGAGACCAAGGAAAGCAAGGCCTCCTTGCTGTTTGAGGAGGGAGACCTGGTGTCTGGGCTGTCATGGAAAGGGGAAAGGCAGAAAGTTATAACTTTCTAAAGTTATTCCGCCTTCTGCTTACAGGGAACTTGAGAAACATTTCTTTGTCATTTTGCCACATGTTGCAATAAAGCTTTTATTTTATGGCTGTAAATACACATGGAATGATGTGATTTCTGATATTTGCCTCAAATAACCCAGTTTGGGGACCAGAGAAGTAGGGAGAGGATAGGTGAGATAAGGCTGTGTATGAATAGATAGTTGTTGAAAAAGTGTGCCAGGTAACACAGGGATTCGAGAAATTCAAAAAGTTAAAACATGGAAAATGCCCCCATCAGTTCTAAGCCCCCATCAGTTTCTAGATTCTCTAGAAACGTGGGAGTAGGAAAATATTGTGTCCATTATTTTTCATTATACTAGGTACTTACTAGTTGACTATGTATGTTTTATTTGCTGCCACTATAGCACCCTAAGCTTTCTTCTCCTCATTACTTCTTTTACTTTTGTTGGGGGTAGGAAAGGTAATTATATACTGGGACATATTCTAGGCTCTTCCATAGAGGGAAAAACCTGAAGTGGATCCAGGCTACCCTCTACTGTTTATCTTCATTCTCTTGAATAACAGCAATTACCATATGCTCAGTGCTTACATTTCAGACCTGGGCTAAGCTCTTTATAAATATTATCCCAGTGCTTTCAAATCTTGGAGGTAAGTGTTTTATCCCTATTTCACAGATGAGAGAGAGGGGATTTAATGGTCAAATACTTTGTCAAGGCCTCTGAGCTGGTGACATCTGGAGCTGTGTGACTCTAAGACTCATTTATTAGAGAAGCCATTTGAATGGTCTTTGGTTTTCTGATCTGTGAGCTGGGATAGGTGGCCATCTGACACCCGTGGGCAGTACCTTTCTGCTGAGAACCTCCCTGAGTGGGAGGTGTCTCTTTGGCCTGAGGGGTGAATGTTCCTGAGGGGCACTAAAACACTCCAAACAATGTCTTCAGGGTTGCAGGTATGAAATGAGAAAATAAGGGTAGGTGATGGTTTCGGTTCCTTCTGACTTTAAAGTTCAATATTCCTATGGTCCTCTGTGGCTTCCCAGTTTCTCAGAAAGTTTACAAGTCAAGGATGCATGAGGAAGTAGTATCACAGTCAAAAGTATAGAGGCGTTGTAATGATAATTTTGAAACACATGATGGTAATGGACCAGCTAAGCAGACAGGTAGGGCAAACAGCTGGGAGGATCCTGAGTGGACGAAGAACACAAAGTTTTAATGACCTGAATGGATTACTGCAGGTTACTTAGGCCCCGCCATGCTCAGCAAATATTTTTCTACTGAGTACATGCCCCTACCTGCCGCAGGAGGGGCAGGCAGCTGCAGGAGCACAGCTGTGTTCTCGCAGGCGTCACCATGTGGCTGTTCACAACACTGACCCTTGCTAGTTTAAGGAGGAGGACTAAGAAGTCAGGATCCCTCTGTCTGGGAGAAGGGTCCAAGCTGTCACCATGTCCAGTGTCCATGTTCAGTTGGCTTAGAGGTGACAATAGCAAACAATTCCTTCCCTGTGGAGGCAGGAAGGTGATTGAGGGGATGGCTTGTTCTCAATGGACATTTTATCTCTCATTTTCATCTACTTCTATTATATACTTTACAACTGCTATAATTCAGAAACTTTAAATTTTTGCTATTCCAGACTCCATAGTGAAGGAATAATAGCTTTATATAGACAATAATAGATATAATGAAGGAAAGCTTCCAGATGTTTTCTATAAACAAATAACTTTGATTACCTAAATCTAAGAGAATAGAACTTGAAAGGAAATTATAGACTGATTCCACTTATGAGTATCAATTTAAAAGCCCTAATAAAATTTTTTCAAGATCAGAATTAAATACAAAATGAAGAAAAGAACACATCATGATGCCATAGGATTTATTCTACATTACAAGAGTAGAGCATGACTGGGAAATCCATTTATGTAATGTCATCATATAAATATACAGAGAAGAACAATGTTACCTCCAAAACATCTTACCTCTAAAGATGATAAAAAAGCCATTATGAACCAAAACTGTCAATAAGAGAAGAATTAATGGATATCTTCTTAGCATATTACAGTCTACATCTCCCAGTTGTTGAGATAGTGTCTTACTTAATCGAGAAAACACCAGTAAGTGACCACTAGTGGACACCATGGCTAGGATGTCCCCTATTGCCCCTGCTCTCTAACTTTGTGCCGGGGCCACTGACCAAGGCAGCTAACAGGAGAAAACCATTAACAGTAGAAGGATAGAGACATTATGGAGCTATCATTTCTCCCTGAGTTAACTCATATATTTTTTAAAAGATTTATTTATTATGCATACAGAATTGGGGTACAGGCTAGAAGTTGCAGGAGGTGAGAGACTTCACCAGAGACAAAGTGGGGAGCAGAACAGGCAGATTGATGAAGTACACAGCTGAGGGGAGCAGCAGGCGGGTCAGGAGAGGTCTGTGGCGCCATGTGGGTCATCCCCCGGCCGGGGATTGAACTTGTGCTGCAGTAGCTTTGGAGAGCTTCATAGTCCTGTGCTTAAACCTGTTGTGCCAATGAGGGCCTTATCTCATATTTTTTTTAAAAAAAAGATTTATTTAGTTATTCATACAGAACTGGTGTACAGGCCAGAGATGTGGAGGGTGAGAGGATTCACCAGAGACAGAGTGGGGAGCAGAACAGGCAGATCGAAGAAGTACACTGCTGAAGGGAGCAGCAGGCGGGTCAGGAGAGGTCTGACGCGCCATGTGGATCTCCTCCAGGGCAGGCGGAAGTGGCTTTAGCTTCTTTGTACTGTGCTTTAACCTACTGCGCCACCAGGGAGGGCCCTTATCTCATATTTTTTACATAATCCCAATAAAAGTAACAAATTTTTTTCTGAAGCTATACAGATTGACTCTGAAATTCATATGAAGCTGGTGTACAGAATAGGGAGGTTATTTCATGAGAAAGTGGAGCTATGAAATAGGAATAACCCTCGTTGATCCACTGTAAACCCTCCATAATTAAACATTATTCAGGGGTTCAGGTTTATGAGGGGAAAGAGCTTGAGAAAAGAAGAAAAAAGAAATCTCAGGTGCCTATGGAAATTTATATCATAAAGATGGCAGCCCAGAGCTCTGGGAAAAGTGAGATCTTTCTAGTAAATGTTAAGACAAATGGTAGCTAAGAGGAACAAAGCTAAATTGAACTCGTACCTCACATTCAATGTAAAAATCAACTTCCAATGTATCAGAGATCATACAGTAAAAAAGAAAATGAGGCCCACTGTGGTGGCGCAGCGGGTTAAAGCACAGCACTAAGAAGCTAAAGCCACTTCCGCATGAGTTCGAAACCTGCCTGCCCCGGAGGTGACCACATGGAGCGGCAGACCTCTCCTGACCCGCCCGCTGCTCCCCTCAGCAGTGTACTTCATCGATCTGCCTGTTCTGCTCCCCACTCTGTCTTTAGTGAATCCCTCACCCTCTGCATCTCTGGCCGGTACCCCAGTTCTATCTGAATAAATAAATAAATCTTTAAACAAAAGAAAATGAAATGGGTGAACTGCTTTGTAGTCTGTCAGTAGGGAAAGATTTTGTAATGTGAGGGACTACCAAGTATTAAAAAAAAAGGCTGATAAATTCAAGTATATAAAGGCATCCACATGAATCTGCTGTGCAAGGCACAGTGTGAAAAGTTGGGCAGCAGCTTTTGGGGCGTGATGGGACTTGAAACGGAAGCAGCATTGTTCTAAACTTGAATCTCTGAGGTCAGGGTCTGTGCTGTTTGCCACTCTACACCTGACCCGAGGGTACTGCGTGACCCTGACTTAGTTCTTGGTGTTTGTTGCATGAGCACGTCAGGGAGAACCCTACATAACGAGCAGCAGATGCTGTATGCCTGGGCTTTCTGGCTACCGAGGAGGACCACCAGAGCTCCCAGGGCCTGTGCATAGCGTCCTTACTTTAGAGGGGCAGATACTCGTCGCAGCTCATAATGGCAGTGCTGCTCAATCCTGATATGCTTCTGAATCATCTTGTGTCAAAATGGGGTTCTGCCTCATTAGTTAGATGGGGAACTGAGATTCGACATATACAGCAAGAGCCATGTGCTAAGATGCCCCTTGTTTGGGAAGCATACTGTCGATCTGAAGGCCTTCAGACAAAGCAGGGCAGGGTTAATAAGAACAATCTTGTCTACAGCATTTGAGAAACCTTGAAATCAATTGTTATGCGGTACAATGCAGCCGTATGAATAATGGAAATTTCCTAAAAGACTTTATCACAGGCCTGGTTTTTCTGTAGTCTTGGTAACAGTTTGTCAGCATTTTTCAGGGCCTTGGAAACTGAGCTCTTTCTTGTCAACTCTCATGTGGGAAATCTCTAGGAAGCTTTGAAAGGCCTGGGAGGGAGGAAGGAGATAGAACAGAGGACTTGACTAGGGCACATAACCATTGGGTCAGTAAGTCAGGGGAAGTGATGGCTGTTAACCCCTCTCCTCCTGTTACAGGCTCAGTCAGGGAACATTCAGAATGCTGTGATGTTAGACAAACAGAAGGAGCTTGACAGCAAAGTCAGAAATGTCAAGGACAAAGTTATGGTGAGTATTGAGTAAATCTACACCTTTGTTCTGTAACTTTTTGTAAAAGGGAAAAAAAGGTTTCAATGGCTCTAGTGTAATGTAGTAACTCATTTCAGCCATTTAAAAAGTAGGTGAGAAACTTTAGTGACATTCCAGACCATAAGCAAACTAGCAAAACCAATGAGTCAATAGACATTTACAGCACCTGCAATAACTTCAGAGCCTTGCGCTTACCTGTTTCTTCCTTGTAAGGCTGCTTAAAGCTGCTGACTTTGCCCTTTCACCCAATACATTAGGCAGTGCTATTCTAAATAGCCCTTTGTATCTGTACCTTTCAAATTAGGGCGTTCTGGGGGTTGCATAAAGCCCCAGAGTAGACAGAGGCACACTTCCTGAAGCATCTGTTTTGTCTTAAGACTTGGGAGGGAAACAAAAATAGTTTGTTGGGATTCTGAACCATTTTAGTCAGAATAAAACACCACCAGTGATTTTAAGATGATCTTGCAAGACAACATGTCAGCGGAGACCTGCTTCTGTGGCCTTGGTATGTGTAACCTTCTCTCCACTGTTAGAAAGCATCCGGCTTCCACCAAGCCATGGCAAGGCAATGGCCCAGGGGTGCCATTGGACCTGGGTCTCTGGAATGCAACACTTGGCCTTGACCTTGTGCTGTTAACAGTGTTTCCAAACTCTAGATTCTTTGGGCAACTTTATCCTGCAGCTTCCCAGGGAAACATTTCATTAAAATAGAAATCAAATGACCCAGTTGGAAGCCCATCTATTTTCTATTAAAAGTCACCATATACTCTTACATTTGCTAAAAGAGCCTTCTTGATACATGGTAGGTATTGTGCTTTCTTTCAAATTTCAGTTTTATATGTATGAAACTGTAAAATTTCCAAAGGTTACAAATAGTTCTTTTTAACACATAATATTCATGTTTGGAAGCAGGCACACACCTTAGTCATTTTTCAAAATAGTGATTATATTGATAATATTAAACTATTTAAATGAGTTATGGATGGAATTTTGGTCCTTGCTTAAATAATTTGAGTGATTAAAGCTTTTTACTGCTATTATATATAAGTTAATGTAGCATGCCAATGTTACAGATTTTTTTCACAATGTTTGCTTATATTATTTTTGGGGTATGAGTTTATATTTAAAGTATTGCAGTTGAGGAATAAATTATTATCTATGACTTTGAAACTAAAAAAAGTTAATATATACTTATCAAGTAGAGAAATTATTTCATGTATGTGATTAGGATTGTGCTAAATCCAATAAATCTTTGAGCCAAACGAGATTGTTTTACAGTTTTTGGGTCCTGTTTCTTAAATAAATGTTTTCCTGAGATCTTTGGAATCCAAACCATAAAAAACCTGTTTATGTCTTTATTTGTAGTGTATAGAGCAGGAAATCAAGACTCTGGAAGAGTTACAAGATGAGTATGACTTTAAATGCAAAACCTTGCAGAATAGAGGTAAGCTTTAACATTTAGAACAATGTCCATAGGACATTTTTCCTGCTTGCAGTAGATAACAAAGCTGAATACACCTTTATTTGCCAAGTATTTTATCACTCTGAGTGGCTGTCTTGGGTTCTTGAATATTCTTAACCTCACTGCTATTGAAATTATGGGCCAGATCTTTGTTCTGGGGGATCTGTCCTATGCATTGTTGGATTTTTTTTTAAGATTTATTTATTTATGTGTACTGAACTGGGGGACAGGCCAGAGGTGCAGGGGCAGTGAGAGGATTCACCAGAGACAGAGTGGGGAGCAGAACAAGCCAACTGACGAAGTACACTGCTGAGGGGAGCCCTGAGTGGGTCAGGAGAGGTCTGCTGCGCCTTGTGAGTCACCTCCGGCTGATCCACTCATGCTAAAGCGGCTTTAGTTTCTTAATGCTGTGCTTTAGATAGGCCACCTGGGAGGGCGCATTGTTGGCTGATTTAACAGCACCTGGCTTCTGTCCACCAGATGGCAGTAGAACTACCCCTAAGCTGGCAGTGGTGAAAGCCAAGCAGTCTCCAGACATTGTCAAGTGTACTCTGGGGGTCATCAGTCATCCTATCTGATAACTGCTAGCAGTGTGTTATCCCTTTACTTATTGTGCCTGTTTCACTGATTGGCACACTGGGAGCTTTGTGTGGCTGCCTGGCCCTGCCGCCTAGATCTCCTGCCAATGGTTTAGCTCCACATAGATACTCTATTTTGTTGCGGCTGCTTGATCTTAATGACAGACCAGCACTCAAAAATAACCCACTTATTTGAATGGTGTTATAGTGATAAGGCAGGGTTATCAACATAATTTGAGAAGTATGAGAGGAACCTCAGCTAGTACTTCTTAATTGTCTGCTGTTTCAGAGTTACAGATAGGTAATTTTGTATAAATTTTTTATCTGAGACTTTGAGTGTTGTGACTTCTATTGATTTATGTAACAGTCTGACAAAGACTGAACAGTCAGATGTGCTGTTTCCAGTTCACATGGGTCATTGGAAAGAGGGACTTGGTTTCACTGGGTTCAGTGTTTATATTTAGATTTTTCTTGTCTTGTTCAATAAAAATTGAAGTAGATCAAGCATTGACCTACCGTACTGCACTTGAATAGTGTATTTTTCCTAAGTGTGTGTGAACCTTGGATATATATTTTTTTTTTACATTTATATTGATCTGCTGTCTGTTCCAATTCACAGAACATGAAACCAACGGTGTAGCAAAGAATGACCAGAAACAGGAACAGCTGTTACTACAGAAGATGTATCTAATGCTTGACAATAAGAGAAAGGTATGAATCACTTCTATGTTGCTTTTATCACAATCCATAAATAAAAGATTTGAGGTTTAGAATAGAGGAAAAAATATTTTTATAACCACTTGGTTCAGGGTCCTAGTTGAGAATGAAAGACTATTTGCTTTTTTTTTTTTAAGGTGATAAAGGTGAACTTCCTTCACTTTGTTTCTTCCTCTCCCTCTAGGAAGTGGTGCACAAAATAAGGGACTTGTTGAATGTCACAGAACTTACCCAGAATGCCCTGATTAATGATGAGCTGGTGGAATGGAAGCGGAGACAGCAGAGCGCCTGTATTGGGGGGCCCCCTAATGCCTGCCTTGACCAGCTGCAGAACTGGTAAGAGCCTCCAGAGTGGAAAGTTGGCAGCCGAGTCGCTAACCATAGAAGCTCATTAAGTGCACTTTTGAGTAGTGTTAGTTGAACGGACCCTGTCAAAACTTGGGTCGGGAGTTTGATGTGGTCCCAGCTTCTGGCCTGGACTCACTAGGGAAGCTCAGTGTTTTCCACGCCTGCTGCCACGTTCTGTCCAGACTGGCTTGGTCTGCAGCCTCCCCGCCCTGGAGTACGTGTCCTGTGGGATGCACCCCTGGACGGTGCCAGAACTCTACTGCCATCGTCATCATCTGCTACATTTAGCTGCTTCAGTTCCCATGTTTTCTTAAAAACAAATTAGCAGGAGGCATTTTCCAGGCTCACATGAAGTAACAGTTTGTTTGGGGCCACTGATTCAGTCATGCCTTCAGTAAATACTTAGGAAGTGCTGTGTGCCAGACACAGGGTGACAACCTAAGGGGCCCTCGCCCGGTGGAGCACGAGATAGTGTGGCAAGAATCCTGTGTGGGGAGAGGTTGCTGCACTTGAACACAAGTGCACACAGAGCTCTGTGGGGAAAGGAGCCCCAGGAAGCATGCGTTACAGAGACTCTTGAGAGTAGACTAGGAGTTCACACAGACCAGATGGGAGGACACAGACAGAGCCACGGAAGGGAGGAGAGGCTGGGGTGGAGTGATCGCGGAGGTTCCACAACGCACCCGGAACAGGGATTTTATCTGGGCACTGGTGGACCAGCGGGCGTTTTATTGAAGCGGAGATTTACTTCTCTGATTCTTGATTTAGAGAGGGTAACTCTGGCAGTCATCTGGAGGCCAGAATAGACACAGAAAGGCCCACTGGGCTGCGATGAGTGTGTTAGTGTTCTTTGGGGGTGAGGAGGGAAACTGATGAGAGCTAAACTCGGGATCAAGCAGAAAGGATGGAAGAGGCAGAGTCAGAGGAATTTGAAGGGATGGTGACTGGAGCAATGGCCAGCACCCTAGGTTGGAGATTTTTGTGAGATTATATTCTGAATTGCCTTTTGTTTGTTTATACAATGAATACTCAGTCATTTGTTTTTATTCTGTGACTGACTGGTCCATATACACATTTCCTGTGGGTTAAAGTGGATATTCCCAGCCCAGTAGACCCTTTTGCCCCCTGAGAGAGGCTGACCTCCACAACCTTCCAGGTGCCGGGGAGACGCTGGCTGTGTGGTGCCCCCCGGTGGTCACGTTAGGACACAAGGGACCTGTTTTACTCCTGCCCAGCTTCCCTGTCATGATAGAAACCAGGTGGAGGTTCCACTGCCCCCCACATCGCTGCTGACTGTGTCTGTCCGTCCCCCTTCTCCTCTTTGTCTTTGTCCCGTTAAGGCGTTAAATCTCACGGATCGTAAAGTCACATGTCCCATAGAAGCTGTGTCACACAGCCTGTCTGTCCTTGATTCGTCTCAGTAGTATGCAGTGGTTTCTGACGCCACCTGCATATTCTTTTTTTCTCACCAAGAACTAACTCCTTATGCTTAATTGAGCCGTGGCCTCTGTGTCCCCGCCGCCTGTGCAGGTGAAATTGCGCTATGCAGTGCCTGTCGAAGCCTCTGGTTACTTTCTGCGGTCAGGCAGGCTGTTCTGCGGCTGTTTCTGATTGAGACTTTGGGTGTCTTGTGCAGGTTCACCGTAGTTGCTGAGAGTCTGCAGCAGGTTCGTCAGCAGCTTAAAAAACTTGAGGAACTGGAACAGAAATACACCTATGACCATGACCCCATCACAAAAAACAAACAAGGGTTATCGGATCGCACCTTCAGCCTTTTCCAGCAGCTCATTCAGAGGTAATTGGAGGGAGATGTATTTGCATATTTTGGAATTTTTTATCCAGAGGGAAAACTTTACAGTAATTCAGAAGGGTTTCATAGAAGATAAAGATAGATGATAGATAGATTTTTTTTTTTTTTGTCTCCTTCCCTTGGGAACCTTATTTCCTTGTAGACTCTTAAACCCTCTCTCCTCAATTCTTTCATGGTAGCCTCCCAACAGGTGCCCTATCCAGGCGACCTATACCTTCCCAGTCCCAGGGACCAAGCTGGGTGATGGCCATCACCTGCTTGGTGGAACCCCCTGCTGGGCACCCCCACCACCCACAGCTTGGCCCTAGCTGGCCACTCCAGAATTAGCTTCCACTTACCCATTTCCAAGCAGCTTCACCGTGTGCTGTTTTCAAGGCCCATCTAGTGCTCTTACCGCTCCACGTCTCCCCAACATTATTTCCTTCACCTCGGAGGCTTCTCTTGTACCTATTTCAAAATGGTATTTATCCTGAAAGTTTCAGCTTATATTTCATCATGAAATCTTGCCCGTCTCCAAACACATTACCTCCCTTCCAGCTCTGCAGAGTTCATTTCTTATTCTTCCACTATGGACTTTATTATTTAGTTGTTAAGGATTCTGTGGCCAGTTGGAAGGTTCTGGAAGGCAGAGATAAGCCTTTGTCATTCTTTTTCCCCCACTAAGGCACTAAGGCCTTGCCCATACTAGGTTTTATAAATATGCTTAGTAGATAGATAAATGATGTTGACTAGAAGAGCAGAGTTCATAATGGAACTTGTTTTGATGTTAACCTGACATAATAAAGGTATATTTGGTTCCCTGTGGCTAATGTCGAATTTCTAGATATCAAATTTCAACATAATTAAGGACCTTGGCTTTGGGAGTACAAATTTGACTTTTTTATTGAAAATTAATGGTTGGGAATGTTTACTAGATAATAAATACTACTAAGCATTTTACCAGAATAATAATTTTCCAGAGGCTATTAAAATTTGCATTTCAAACATAATGCTTATGCTATTAAGTAATAAATTACGTGGTTTATTTTTAAATGTAGTAAAATTTATTTTTGTATCTTTATTTTTAAATTGAGATATAATTGGACTATAACATTATATTATTTTCAGGTTTCCAGCACAGTGATTTGGTCTTCAGTTATATAGAAAATGATTACCACTCTAAGTCTATTTAGCAAATTGGATTCTTAGTGCAGATTTGTAAGTGAACATAATCAATCCAGGATTTTCACTGTTGAAAAGTATCACCAGTCTCTGCAATTACACTTGATTTTGTGAATACAACTTAGAGATTTGAAGATTTCTTTACCGACTAACCTTACTTTATTCATCCAACTGGATAGAATCTTTCAAACTGCCTTGTAGCCTTTGCTGTCTCGCATCTTTTCTCTTCAGGAAACATAATTTTTCATTGTCTCAACCTTAATGAAAATGCTCATTTCCATTTTGCTTGAAATTTACAGCTCATTTGTGGTGGAAAGACAGCCTTGCATGCCAACTCACCCTCAGAGGCCTCTGGTCTTGAAGACTGGGGTACAATTCACTGTGAAGTTGAGGTAATGAAGAAAAGATGGAACCCTATATACTGCTGATCACGCAGTTGACACCCTATTTCTCTCTACAACACTGTTTTACAGGGCAGAAGTCAAAGAAGTAGCAGACGTAATTTTGCAAAGATGTTTAATATTTATAAAATCTGAAAGCACGTCTCATATTCATAATAGAAATACAGAAGCTATATATGCACACACACACCCATATTTTCCTATTCGTATATGTAATACAGGTTCACTGTGAAAAAGAATTTGAAATTGCCAAACTGCAGTGCATAGCGACTGAAAGTTCCCAGGAGCCTTGCCCCCTCTTAGCATCAACTTATAGTCTGAGCTTGATATATCCCCAAAACTGTATGTAGTGTGTGTGTGAATATGGGTTTATAACATGTCCATAATGAGGAAGTTTATAGCTTTCAGCACACTTAATGTTGGCTGTGACCTAAATATATGTCAGTCACCATAGTTATGGCTTAGTCTACCTCCCGGAACTTTGTGCATGTCTATACAAACATATAAAACCACATTTGTATGTGTGGATACACACGTGTGCTTTTTCTATCTATAGACACTCTCATATATACACACCCAAATATATGTGACATTTTTTAAAACGAGGGTTTTCTCTATAATTTTTGCAGCCTGTTTTTCTGCCTGTTGGAGGGCAGAGTTCATTTCACCGTTCTTTACGGAGGAGCAGTGAGGCTCAGGAGAGCCGTGCTTGTCTTCCTGTGTCGCAGAAGTAGGCCCCAGAGGCTGTTTCCCTGGCTGCCAGTGGTACAGCCCCACACACAGTCACCCACCAGGCCAAGGGCTCCCAGCTGGAAGTGGAGAGAAACCTAACCCCATCCACCTGCACCTCTGGGAAGAGCCAATATGTGGGGTGGGGTTTCTCTCCCAAGGCCCCCTCCCTCCTCGATGGAGCAGAGGCAGCCTCACCTTCCACACTGCCTTGAAGCAATTTTCCATGTGACCCTCATGATCCTGGTGATGGGTGATAGTTTTGTTTTTTTTTTTCTGGCAGCATAAAATATCAGACACAAGTTTTATTAAAAAGTAACATTTGCTATTTTTATCCATGTAATTGGCCCAAAATAGACATTTTGATAGAACACAATATTGGTGAGGTTATAGAGGGAAGTAGATACCCTTACTCACTTTTGGTGTGAATATAAAATCAGTCCTGCTGTCCATTAGAATTTAAGTTACAATTTTCTACAGCTAGGAATGTGTCATACAAATATACTTTAAAGAATCCAAGTAGCTGTACAGGATGTCAGTGCCTTTGATTGCATTAACGAAAACCTGGAAGTGATGGGGTTTATTAAAAACTTCGTTGACAGGGAATTGGCATAATAAATACAATATTTATTTATTTATTATTATTATAGATTATTATCTATTATTATAATAGAGTACTTGATTACTTTTTAAAATAATCCTGACTTTTGTTTTTCTTTGCAGACTGTTGGTGAAATTGCAAGAACTGAATTATAATTTGAAAGTCAAAGTCTTATTTGATAAGTAAGATATCTTTAATGTTATCTAAGCTACATGTGCTATTGAAATGTTCGTTGTGTTACCCAAATGAAGACTGAGGTATCAGGGCCTTTGAAAGTGATCCTAGTAGAGTTAAATTAATAGCTTCCTGGAAAACAGGTATCAACACATCCGTGTCTTTCTGGACTATAAATGAACAAAAGAATGAGTGTGTTTCATGCAGCTGAGCTAGTAATCATCATGTCTTGAAGCAGCGGTCATCATTCCACCCTTCTCCCAGACCAGCCCCAGAGCAGGAGCCCACGTGCAACCACAAGCCTTCCTCCGGGCTGCTGGCTTAAGTTGTGGCCAGCTGTTGTGCTGTTTCTGGCAGCATTTGGGGGAGCCTGTGTGGAGCCTGCTGGATTCATACTTGTCCCTTCTGAGCAGTACAGACCCAGGAGCATGCAGGACCACCCTGGAGGATTTCAGTGGAATAAAGCCATCCCATTTTGCCCTTAGATCCTGAAGCTAGACTAGCACTAACCTCACCAGATATATTAGGTGACACGTGACTTTGTACCCCAGAATACAGTTCAAGCTGTTATAGAACATAGCTCATCATCTCTTTCTACTCCTGCAGCAATATTCCTCCTGATCTCTGCTTTTGTCTCTCCTGCCATCTTTGGTTTCTCTGTATCAGTTAGCTCTTGCTGTGTAACAAATATCCCTGAGCATTGTGACTCAAAACCCAAAAACATTCATTCTCTTGTGCTGTGGGCTAGGGGTCAATCCTTCTGGAAGGAGCTAAGTTGGTGATTGCTAGGTGATTGAGCTTGGACTTGTTACATGTCTGAGGCCTTGGCTGAGGTAACTGGGCTCCTCTCCCTGGGTCTCTCAAAGAGGCTAGCCTGAACTTTCTGCATGGGATGGCTTTCTAGCTGGGCAAGAGGAGCAGCATGCTAGGGCTGTGGGAACGAGGCTTGGGAGTCTCTGTCATTCCCATCCAGTCTGTCAGTACAAACAAGTCAAAGCCACTGAGATATAAAGGACAGGTAAGGGAAGAGCCGCAAAGACTTTATGACTAATTGCACTTACCACACTTTGTTGAAGCTCAGTCTTCTCATGTGTTCATGTTCCTTTGCTTTTTCTATCTGTTGCAGCTCTGAGTTTTCTTCTTAGCTCTGACAAGGCAGCTCTGCATCACATTCTTCCTCTTATTTAAGTCCTTTTTTTTAAACCAGGGAAAATTGGTCACTCTTATAGTTCCTGGTGATTGTTTTTCACAAAAACATTGATCTAATTATGATAGGAAAGGAAGCTAACTTATTTGGCTGGGTGAGCTAATGATTTCTCATCTACACCTGTGCCACTAACCAATGCGTTTTTTGTCCAGAACATGACAAAGTAGTCACTGAATGTAGAAATGATGTAAAGTCTCAAGATCTTAACTTCAGATTTAAAACTTAAATTTGTCATTCCTTCCTGCACTCCTCCTTTCTCTACTGTTCTAAAGCTTTCATGAGGGCATTAAAGATAACAGAGAATAAGAATAATGATTAAGCCATCACATTCAAGGGCCTTCTGAATTCTGTAACAGCAGGGAATACTCTCAGTTGACTCCAAATGCCTCCCACAAAGTGAGTGATTTAAATAGCAATCACTACAGCATACTTTTAGTTTACTCCTCACTATATCCTGTAAGGTTGGTGCTTTTCACCTCTCATACAGTTGATAAACATAAGGCCCAGTAGTTTACTTGCTCAAAGGGTGCTCAATAATACTTGGCAGATGGTTGAGTGAGGTAGTGTGTGAAAGAAGGTAAAAAAATCTGCCGGTATAGATTTATTTTTTAATTGATCTTTTGCTGTACACATGCTTATATATATATATATAACACTAATGCTCATTTTAAAATTTTAATACACATAATCATATATCTTTATTTTTTTTTTCTTTTTGCAGAGATGTGAATGAGAGAAATACAGTCAAAGGGTAAGTGAAGTACTTTGCACCATATTTTTGCTCCCTTACTTGATTGTTTAATAGTTCCAAGCCTTTTATTTCTACCCTGTATTGTCTAGATTCAGAAAGTTCAACATCTTAGGCACACACACCAAAGTGATGAACATGGAGGAGTCCACCAATGGAAGTTTGGCGGCAGAGTTTCGACACCTGGTAGGGAGACTGGTTTTTGGTCTTCTCCTTTCACGTTGGGTGTGGTTTAGGAGGGAGGTTTAGAAGGGAGTTTATTTATCAACTGATATGGAGGGCGCCTGCTAGAAGAACATTTTCTGGAGTTTACAGCTAGTGACTTCATCAACATTTTGTTTCCTCCTTTGATTTTTAGAAGGGGTCACTCTGTTTTCTGCCATCTTTCCCCCAGAGAGGCTTCCTGGGGAATGTAGTGATTTCAGTAAAATATCCCATTAACCATTGTGCACATAAATTATCTGCACTTGGTGCCTCCACAATTTCAGTGATGACTCACTAGATACTTCAGATTTCCTAAGGGTGGTTATTGTTGCCATGTCCCGACTGGTATACCCTCTGTTATGGTGACTCCAGGAATGGCTCCTCAGCCCCTCCTTTATAGTCTCCTCACTGGCAGTGTTGTCTATCACTAGGCCTCTCCTTTGTCAGGGTCCTTCCACCAAAGCAGACATCCAACAGCAGACGCCCATAAGTGGGCAGTGCCTTCATCCCTGCCTCCCTGAAAACCAGGCCACAATCTCTGCTGTTAGTACTTACCCTTCCCCTTCCTGTGCCAGAGCCTGAGGCAGAGTCATGGACCTTTACACAGATGACTATTTTCCAGCAAACACTGCTAGGAACCTCTCCTTTGAGTGAGAGCCTTAGCCCAAACTCAGGGCATCTTATGTCTGTAAGCTCCTTATTGGAAGCCTCAGGGATTGAAGTCCTCTGAGGACCACCTAGTTGGTCCTGGAGACACAAGGCCTGCCTAGAAGACTGTAGAAGGAAGTAGGAGGCAGGAGAAGTTGTGCCCTGAGCCTGGGGACCATGAACCAGTTAATGAAGGTGTTGGGGGATGATAAAGGAGAAGTTTGCACAGGAAGGAAACAGGATGCCATCCTCTGGGATCCTTCTAGAATGTGGGTGTGATGCCTGGCTACTGGGGAGAGACCCTTCTGCTCATGTATCCACACCAAGGTCATTTCATCTCTTGTTCCACATTCTGAAAATAATTTTACATCATTCTGTGCAATCTTGACTTTGGTTTGATTTGTAAATAAATGAAAATAGCTACTTTGATGATTACTGTACTTGTTTTACAGCAACTGAAAGAACAGAAAAATGCTGGCACCAGAACTAATGAGGTGAGTCTGGTGTGAATGGTCTCTAACTAGCAGTCTGTTGGGTGAGGTTGGCACTTGCCCTTGGTATCTGAAGACTCCTCAGAGAGGGGTTCAGGCCAGCAGTAAAGAGAGCAAATAAGCTTTGGGACAGATGTGATACAATAAAACTTCGCTCTTTGTGTGATGGTTGTCACCGATTGTATTATGAGTTTCCTGTCTCCTCAGATAGCCTAGTTAGTAGGTGTGATTGATTGGGCTTCTGAGTTGCTCAGATCAAGGTCACAACACTGAATCACAGAATGTTTGCAGGATTTAGCAAAGGGCCACAGGAAGTTACCATCAGAACTGAAACTAGAGGCCAGCTTTACGACATCTGTGTCAATAAAAAAGCGTGCCCTGAGGGCTTTCCTGCCATCTCATCTCAAACCCTTCCTTCTGCATCCCCCACCAGCTCCTCTTTCCATCTGTTTCTTTTCTACAACCAGATCGTTGAGTACATGTGTTTGTGGTGCAAATGAATGATGCACGGAGAACAAAATGCCTGGCCTTGTTTGGTTTGGAGTGGCCTTTCTCTGTGCCAGTAGAAGTCATGTGGAGCTGTGGAGCGAGAGTGGCCAAGCAGTGCAAACACAGCCGTGCTCTCACCCTATCTTGGCCTTAACTATCTCCATCGTCTATCAGAGCTTGGTTTCCTCTCCTGTAAGCAAGGATAGAGCTGCACGTCTCTGGTTCTAAGGTGTGATGTTCACATGAGTCAATGTGTCTGAAAGCACTAACATCTCTACCCAAATCAAGGCAGTTTAGGGCCTGCCAAGCCTATGCAAATCTGCCCTGTCAAGAGACAATCACACCTGGAATATGGTGTGTGCACCTGTCACCCTTTGCCTGCCTCTGGCATGCACCCCATGCCAGGTGGAGCTGTGAGGAGGCTGAAGGCCAGGAAGCTTTCTGTCACAGATAAAATCATTAAGTTGTTCTTTCCCTGGTTCTCTTAATGGTTCTCAAAACCATTGCCTTAGGCCTTAATCTAGAAATCTTATCTCTGAGAGAATGTGGAGATAGCTGCAATCATTAGATCCGAGAGAGATTATTGAGAACTGGAGTTTGCTAGATTTGCAGTGGATGGTGTTCAGGCTCTTTATGGTTACTCAACTTTTGAAAGTTTCAGGATCAATAATTCACTTGTTATGTTCTCTCCTTTTTGTCTCATTGAAGGGCCCTCTCATTGTTACTGAAGAGCTTCACTCCCTTAGTTTTGAAACTCAGTTGTGCCAGCCTGGTTTAGTCATTGACCTCGAGGTAAGATTGACATGATTCAGAGGTGGAAAACATTGTTTGTTTTTGCTGTTTAACTGAAATATGATTTGTATTGCTCAATTTTTGTTGGGCTTGGGGAAAAAAAGAAAAGAAAAAGAAAAACTTGCTAACTACTACAAGATTATTTTTCTCAGAAAACCCTATCTTGACATTAGTTTAATGATTCAAAAACCTGTAGAACTGAGTTAACCTTCAAATTCTTTAAGTTAAATGTTACAGTTGAGTTAGCCCATGTTAATTTTTTATTTGAAGCATTAAAACTGATTTCTTAACTGGACAACAATTCAAAGAGAAATTAAACTATAAAAAATATATATTTCTATTTTTAATTTTTGAGTATGAAGCATAACAGATGTGTAAATAATCTTTATGTGGTTTTTGAAGCTGCGTGTCTGTATGAAGTGATTCAGTTGATTTCAAGATCTTTGTCATTTTTAGACGACCTCTCTACCTGTGGTGGTGATCTCCAACGTCAGCCAGCTCCCAAGTGGCTGGGCCTCCATCCTGTGGTACAACATGCTGGTGGCGGAACCCAGGGTAGGAGAAGATATCTTCTTGGTACCAGTGACTAAGTGTAGATGTCAGGCTTCAGTTTCTGTGTATCTGAAATAGCCCCAAAGGGCCAGGTGTTGAGGGAAAAAGCAACATCACTCAAGTGCCATGACTAGGGATCTTGACTGATTCTGGAAAAGTTAAAGTGTATGTTTGTGTTAGAAATGAGAATTATGATTTTCCTTCTATATAACTAAGCTCAGACAGTGAAAAAGTTCTTCATATTTAATTTTTTTAATGTATACATTTGCTAACTATGCATGGATATGTATATTCACTTTGGATTCATTATAATCAATTCTTAATTTTCACTGTACTTACATCCTTTAGTTCACCTGACCACTGAGTGAGTGAATACTGAACCATTGCCATGCAGGACATAGAGGGGTGGATTGCTGTGAGCCTCCTGTCAGTCTTGTTCTCAAGCCATCAATAGATAATTCTGTTTAAGTGTAGTTATTTTTAAGATGCATTCATATATTATTGTTCATTAACATGGAACTATACCTACTGTGTGTTATATTACAAAGTTTACATAATACACACATTTTCTCTACAAGGTACATCTTGTTCTGGGGTACTTCATCACTGCACTTCAGGTGGTTTAAACCATGAAATCAACAGTAAACTACAAATACGTAACACATGGAGTTAAATATACCCCATAAGAACACTTGTTTACTAGATAAGAGCTGAGACAAGAAGCTAGAATATCATTTTGTTTGACCTCAACTGTAAATGTACCTATTGGATGACTTAAAATTTTCACTGCTTGATCATGGGTATACCCATGAATGACTGCAAGAGGTCTTTTTTTTTTTTTTTTAATTTATTTATTTATGCTCATAAGAACTAGAGTATAGGCCAGAGGTGCAGAGGCTGAGAAGATTCACCAGAGACAGAGTGGGGAGCAGAACAGGCAGACTGACGAAGTACACTGCTGAGGGGAGCAGCAGGGGAAGGAGGTATCTGCTGGACCACATGGATCACCTCCAGGGCTTGGTCTTGATACAGGGTTTGGAGTTACAACTAAGTTTTAGAAAGTAGGTGAATTTTACAAACCTATATAATCAGAACAAACTGTACTTTTTGTCAACTATGAAACTTCTATGTGTCACAAAGTAAACTTAGGACAGGCCTCTGTAGACTGCCTGGTTTGTGAAGGATGATGCTCCCTTAGCCCTCAGTTTTTGATGTTTTCTCTTTAGAATCTATCCTTCTTCCTGAACCCACCTTGTGCACGGTGGGCTCAGCTGTCAGAGGTGCTGAGTTGGCAGTTTTCTTCAGTCACCAAAAGAGGCCTCAACACAGACCAGCTGAACATGCTGGGAGAGAAACTTCTTGGTATGAGCATATTAAAATTTTATACATATATATATATATAGAGAGAGAGAGAGACATCAAAATTTATAACAGTAGCTTTCCTTGCTCCTTTCCCTTCTTTGTTTTCTGTTTTGTTCAAGGTAAGAGTGTCAACATCTGCTGGCTTCTCCAGCTGTGGCTAATGCTCGCTCAGCAAGCATCATGCCTCACCTGGGAGAGAGGATGTAAATCATTTTCCCATGATCTCATATTAATATTTCCAAGCAGGGTTTCTAAGGGAATGTTTATTGAATTATGTAAAATATATTACTTGTAGACAAAAAAATTCATTGATGAGAAAGGCAAATTCTTACTAACCTTGAGGGGGAAAGCATCCAGTCTCTTACATGGTCAGAATAAGTTCCCTGGACTACACAGCCCCCAGCGCACAGCCAAGGCAAGGGTGGGGGAGGGTGGAGAGATGGGGGCAGCCCAGGTAAGAGGTGTCTGGGTCAGAAGGACTCCCCATGACCAGCAGTTCTGGTTGATGGGCTGGGTTGCAGCCATGATGGATAATTCCCCTTCAATAACGAATGTTTTAAATTTGTCTTCTACACAAAGCAAACACCTCATAGTCTCGAGTCACATCTTCAGCGATTAGAAGTGTGTGGGCTATTTCTTTAAACACCCACGGCAACCTTTATCTGGATTTGCTTTCAGCACAGCAGAGGTGCATACACTAATAGGATTTTCCTCACCAAATGGCTCTTAGAACAGTGCCTTCTCTAGGCCATAACTCTCTCAGTGGGGGGTCTTAAAGTACTTTAAAAATAAGTCACTTTCACATCCTTCTATGGTACAATTTTTTTTTAAAAAAAGTATCTTTTATGTGTATAGTGGCTTATTTGTGGCTCTCTTTGAAGAGAGATGATGACTTCACACTCTCAGAGCCTGGCCCGCTTTCTGTGTAGCTGATCACCCCAGGCTCCCTCCTCTTTTCTCTCACTTGGCTTTTGATTTGTAACCACTAACCTTCCTGTTTAGAGGAAGGATGAGGAAAATGCTTCTAATATAAATGTGAAAAGCCAAATGTCAGTTAAAAAGATTGCTTATGGCTCACCTAAGGCTTAGTCTGAACTTCAAAAAAAAAAGAAGAAGAAAGCTTTGTGGGGTCACTGGGAGAGCAGTTCTTGTAGAGGAAATAGAAAGAGGTAGTGTGACATGACATTGCATGGGGAGTGACCCAGCTGAGGCCTCTTCAGGAAAGGCAAATAATTCAGCTTTAATGGATTAGAGAAAACTGTGTAAAATATGGTCTTTCTGTGTTGTGTGTTGGCTCTTTGAGAACAAACACAAGACCCAGAATTGATGTCTATTTCTTGCAAATGCTTTGTTTTATTTGTCTAGGTCTGAATGCCGGCCCCGATGGTCTTATTCCTTGGACAAGGTTCTGTAAGGTGGGTTCTCTCTGGGTTTTAGACTTTGAGTTCTCTTGGCTCTATGAGCTTCTCGTAGTTCTCCCTGTGGTAGTTACTTAACTATGTGCTGACTTTGGCGTGTTTATCACCCACACAACCCGTAGGCCATATTGTTTACTTTCGTCCAAGTCTGAGTTTCCAAGTGAGTCTGACAGGAAGCTCCTGCTCATATGATAACATTCCTTCATATCCGAAATGAGTCTTCTGTTTGCACACACTAGTCCCTGGCCTGGCAGGCCTCTAGCCCCTTTCATGTGAACTGTGTGCTCAGTGGTCAGGCTGGTGGGCGGATGAGCTCCCCTGAACCTGCTGCAGCAACAGAGGAACCCACTGGAGGAAATAATTAGACCCCTTTGGGGTGCCCAGACAGTGTTCATGCTACTAGATTTACTAGAGTGAAGGCAGCTTTGGTTCTGTGAGTCACTCTGGGGGCAATGCCCCGGCTGGTTTGCTACTGTTTGGAGAGGGAAGACTATCCTGGCCTGGGAAGTGGAGAGCTTGGTGTCTCAATGCTGATAAGACGGAAAGCAGGGCTCCCTGGGGTCAGTTTTAGCTTTGACAGCTGCGGGAGGCTTTGCAAATTAAACTATGATGGTGAGAGAAGATATGGAAGTCACTGTTCTTTGCTTCTTTTCCCAAAAATGTGTTTGTATACTTGCAGGAAAATATAAATGATAAAAATTTTCCTTTCTGGCTTTGGATTGAAAGTATCCTTGAACTCATTAAGAAACACCTGCTCTCTCTCTGGAATGATGGGTAAGAGCCATTTGTGAATCTGTTTTTGAAATATATTTTTAGCACATACTCCTTTACCGTGTGACTGAGACAGGTGTGGCCTGGACTTTATGATTTGGTATTGTACAGAAATGCTTGTCCCTTCAGGGCATCACAATAGTGGAGCCTCGTGAGGTTAAATTTATGCTTTTATAGAGTATATGTAAGTTAGTGTGTGTTTTCAATGCCAAATTAAAAAATGACATGAGTGCCATTCATGCATTCATTTGTTTAATGAAAATTTCTTGAGCACCTACTGTATTGTCCAAGGAAGGAAGATAAAACCTGTACCTCAGAAAATTGCCCCTATTTAACATATTTCCAGGGTCAGATTATAGTTCAACTAAGATTTTAATTGAATCAGAAGTGCTCAAATGTGAAAATATGTTTTCTGCCTTTTCCTTTCCAGTTTAAAAGGTACATCAATTCAGATATTTTCGTGGTCTTTAAAATCATCACATGAAAATAATAATAAAAAAACTCATTAATCCAGCCAATATTTGACTCTAACATCTGTTGGCATTGTGTTAATGAATTATATTTTTGGTCTTCAGCTGCATCTGTATAAGTGAAATACTTCCTGAGGCACCAATTAACGAGATTCTAAAGCATCTAAAATCGTCCATATATTTGTTTCCGGTGTTCTTTACCCTATGCCTGTCATCTTGATGTGTTAATTAACCTGAAAATCTAAACCATAACCAGACCTCCGTGGGTCCCTTCCCTGTGCAGGTGTATCGTGGGCTTTATCAGCAAGGAGCGGGAGCGCGCCTTGCTGAAAGACCAGCAGCCAGGGACCTTCCTGCTGCGCTTCAGCGAGAGCTGCCGGGAAGGGGCCATCACCTTCACGTGGGTGGAGCGCTCCCAGAACGGAGGCGGTAAGCGGGCCCCGCCCTGCGCACAAGCCGGGACCTGAAGTGTGTGAGGACTGCACCACACAAATCTACTCAGAGAGCAAATGAACTTTTTTTTTTTTTAAAGATTTATTTATTTATTCATACAGAACTGGGGTACAGGCCAGAGATGCGGAGGATGAGAGGATTCACCAGAGACAGAGCGGGAAGCAGAACAGGCAGATCGATGAAGCACACTGCCGAGGGGAGCAGCGGGCGGGTCAGGAGAGGTCTGCCACGCCATGTGGTCACCTCCGGGGCAGGCAGGCGGGGATCGAACTCATGCGGAAGTGGCCTTAGCTTCTCAGTGCAGTGCTTTAACCCGCTGCGCCACCAGGGAGGGCCGCAAATGAACTTTTTTAATGCACACAGAACTGGGGTACAAGCCAGAGGTGCAGGAGTGGTGAGAGAGGTCTGCCTCACCATGTGGGTCACCTCCCGGGGCAGGGGGTCGAACTCACACTGAAGCGGCTGCTTGCAGTGCTGTGCCCTAACTCATTGCACCACCAGGGAGGGCCCCACAAATGAACTTTTGACATAAAATCTTGGTTCTATACCACCCAGCGGAGCGTCCCAGATAGGATTTATTACATCCCCTAGAATATTTGTGGTCTGCTTGGAACATGGTGTGGAAATGATGGCTTTCAAAACACAAGGCCAAACTCTTTCCCTTTTGTCAGGCTTATTATCTGCAGATGAAGGACGTGAGTCATTGTGACCGGCAACCAGCTCTTGCCAGTTCTTGGGAGGAAACCCATTTTGTGCAGGCTCACGTGGGTGACCCCCCCGGAAGTGCAGATAGGCTGGGCTTTGTAGGGGTGGGGTCCTGGGCACTGTGGCGGCCTCCACCTGCCTTCAGGCAGAGCAATTGCAAGCATATCTTTGTTACACGTTGGGTTCTACTTAACCAAAGTTAATCCGTGATTTCAAGATCCTCCAGGCCTTGACATTACTGCACAGATTTCTGGGGGATGAGGCTGAACAGCAGAGATGGGAAAATAATCAAAACATCTGGTGACTTTTCACTGTTACTTATAGCTTGCTCAGGTAGAAAGACTAGAACAAAAGCTGATTCGTTCCAGTGACTTTTATGCTTTCAGTCAAGCAATGAAAAAAGATGGATTACTTTTCTTGTTCTATTTATCCTCTTCTTCTAATAAACCAAAACAGAAGAGCTGAGGTGAGCTGGTGTTGGTAGCAACTTTTGATCTTCTTCATAATTCTTTCCTAAACTATCTAAGAGATGGGAGCAAGCAAGCCCAGCAAAGGTTAAGAAAATCCTTGGAAACCAAAAACTTCCAACAGGGCAGCAGCAGCTGCAAAACTCCCCAGAGCAGCCTCTGGAATGTGTGCTCCTTAGAAAGCAGGATTTGAAAACTGGGAATAAAATGGGAGCGAATTAAACTGATTACTACATTAAGGACTTTAGAGAAAAGGGACCTTTTTGCTCTCAAAAACTATTTCCCATGTATTGTCAGTCCTTTATCTAAATGAAACATTATATATGTCAACATAAAAAGAAAAACAGAACTGGTTTTATTGCTAGCTTAATATATGAGCTGTCTTTTACTAATTTAATACATGATCTCAGCCAGGATGACCTGATTAATATTTACCTGGCATATCACTGAAGAGGCAGGGTTTAAAGATCTTTAATAAATTTGACCAGATTTACAAATCTATGCAAATCATGACGAATACAGTGTCATTGAGAGTACTGATTGCCTTTATTTTCCCTGTTTTTTTTTTTTTAAGATTTATTTATTTGTGCATACAGAACTGGGGTACAGGCCAGAGATGCGGAGGGTGAGAGGATTCACCAGAGACAGAGTGGGGAGCAGAACAGGCAGATCGACGAAGTACACTGCTGAGGGGAGCAGCGGGCGGGTCAGGAGAGGTCTGCCGCGCCATGTGGTTACCTCCGGAGCAGAGGGGGATCGAACTCATGAGGAAGTGGCTTAATCTTCTTAGTGCAGTGCTTTAACCCGCTGCGCCACCAGGGAGGGCCTATTTTCCCTGTTTTTTAAAAATGATTATAACTTATTTAGAAATAAAGCGGTATCCGATGTTATGTTATAACTCCAGGACTGCGATTAGTTCTTCCCAGGCTCTCTCAAATCCATAAAGTCTGCAATGTTCTGTTTCTCCCCGCTATTGTTTTAGGCTATTTCCTGGACTCACTGAGTTTTCTTCTTTCTAGAACCTTACTTCCATGCCGTTGAACCCTACACAAAGAAAGAACTTTCTGCTGTTACTTTCCCTGACATTATTCGCAATTACAAAGTCATGGCTGCTGAAAATATCCCAGAAAATCCTCTGAAGTATCTGTATCCAAATATTGACAAAGACCATGCTTTTGGAAAGTATTACTCCAGGCCAAAGGAAGGTAAGTGGGGAGCGCCACTCATTGTTGCCCTGATGGCGAGTAACCCCCTCATTTCCTGGTGCCTGTGTTCTTATGTCCTCACTGTCTAAAAGCTTGCTGGAGGCAGGGTTCCAGCATACATGCTCCCCGGCTTTCCTATAAGTTGGGGGCACCATTACAAGTCTCCCACACAGGCACCATTAGTCTGCCACTTTTTAATTGCTTAAAGTAGATTTTCCAAAGATGGTATAAATACCACACAGTAGAAACATGATGCATTGTCTTGCCTCACACAGGTAGTAAGAAAAGAGTAACTTATTGTTTGGGGGTGTTGGAAAGTTTTGGGCTTTGTGTGTGTGTGTGTGTGTACTTACTATTTTATTACTTTTCAGGTGGAAAAGGTAAAAATCAGGCCTTCCAGGGCCACTGATTTGTGGCAGACTGCTCCTGTGGAAATGTAGGCCCAGGAGACTGAAGTGGTTCATTTTTAGGGGGGGCCCAGTTAGCAGATCATATTGTTACCAGTGACGATCGTTAAGGGTTAGCCTAGACTAGAACACAGGTCTCCTGCACCTCTGTCTTCACTAACTTGCCTATGAGAGATTTCAAACTGGACTGATCTTGTGGGAACATGCTCACAGAGTTAATTATTTTTCAGAGTGAGGAATCTCAAACTGAGCACAATTATTTGGGGGAAAACAATGCCTCCAGCTGACCTTGACAGCAGTGTAAATGGGACCAACCAAGTTGGAATCCCTAAACCAATTAGAACTTTTATGGTTAGACTGCAGCTTCTAGAAGATTTCAAACCTCGGAGAGAGAAACCTCTCAGCTCCATTTCTGTACTGAACTCTCCTGTCTCTCTGAGTGGCTTTTGTATTCCCACCCAGATTTGAGGTGCCACAGAAGGGTGTGCGTAGAACCCCTTAAAGGAACAGACTCTAAGTTGTCAAGTAAACAGTAAAATTGTGACAAAAGAGAAAGTCGCTGGCCAGTTCTCATGTGCTTTCTGCTAATGGACACGATACCGATGTGTTTGCTTCTAGCCCCAGAACCAATGGAACTTGATGGCCCAAAAGGAACTGGATACATCAAGACTGAGCTGATTTCTGTGTCTGAAGTGTAAGTGAACACGGAGGAGAGCCATGTTTAAAAGCCTCAAGCCAGCCTGCTCCTGGCTGGGGCCTGTTGAAGATGCTCATGGTTTGCTTTGTCAGTTGTCCCTGCTGCCTGCCATCTCCATGCCGGTTGGACCTGCTGGAAAGATCCTAATTAGAGATTGTGGTGTCCCTGCCTGTCAGCACTTCATTGCCTTTATAAACCCCCCCAAACAAAACCAAAGTTGTATTTAAGATATATAAGTCCTCCCCAATCTGACATTTTGAAAAAGCATAAATAAAATGAACAAAAATTGATCGGAGTGGGAAAGTAGTTCTTTTTCAACAGAGCCGAGGCCATAGTAAGGGTTGAGATACAATTTTTCCACTTGCTTTTATTTTGTTGTTTCATTTTGTAAAAGGTAGAAAAAAAAATTGGAAAAGTCATTGTCAGTTATTTGGCCAGCAGCACTGTCTTGAGGTGACTGGATGTAGCCTTCATGTAAAAACACTGGAGCAGCTTGATCTGCATACAAACCTCAAGGTAGGGATGAGGGACTCCCCAGACTTCCCTCCGGTGCTTCGTCTAGGCCAGCACTGAGGCACTATCATCTCGGTGACACTCCGCAGCAGGCAGAAGCGGCCCAGGGCCCCGAGTGGCTACTGCTCATCACGTCTTTGGAGTCCGACATGCTTCCCAAGGGCCAGGCTGGGGACACAAACCTCCGGTCTGTACTTTGTTCAAATGTATTTTCCAAGTATACACACTAACCTGAAATGAAAAGTCTCAAGGAATGATGCAATCACAGGCAGAGATGAAATGTCTAAGTCTGCACCTGTTTCCAGAATCTAGATGCTAACAAGCCTTTCTCCTCTCTCCCATTTTAGTCATCCGTCTCGACTCCAGACAACAGACAACCTTCTCCCCATGTCTCCCGAGGAGTTTGATGAGGTGTCCCGGATAGTGGGCCCTGTAGCAATCGACAGCATGGTGAGTACCAGGGGGATGTCCCAGCTGTCCCGTGCTCTGATGCGGACAGGGCCCCCTGGTGGATGTTGGGGGGTGGCGAGGGGACCTACTTACGGGTCCAGGGAGGTGTGAGCAGAGCCTGGAGGGATGGTTTTAGAATAGCCTGTGGCAAGTTGGAGCTTACCGAGCACAAACAAGCTGCATCATCACCAGGATTTTTGTTTGAGGCATTCAGCACTTCCAAAAATATTACGTGACATTTCAAATATTTAGAAGTTCCCCATCTCCTCTTTGAAGTTGTCCCTGTAGAAATTTCACATACGACAGCATTACGATTTCTGCGAGTAAAAAATTGCTTTCCTTTGGCTTGTTATTCCAGCACTATGTCTGGGGGGAGGAGTGTTATTTTTAGGAAGACGGAACCAGTGTTTGGTAGTTACAATAATTATGGACAAGTAGCTGGCAGCCCTGAAACCGTTTCACCTACTTCCTGTTGGGGAGCTAATTTGTAGTGTGGGCACCTGGAGCTGTGAAGCCTTGCCAAGAGCGAAGCTTCCAGGAGTGAAGCAGATAACGAGTATCAGGAGAGGACTAGGAATAGGGCAAGAGAGAACCTTCCTTGGCAGGAGGTTCACTTTGTCAAGTTGCATTGTTTACCTGTGAGTTTGAAATCTTTCCTCTTTACCTGTGAGCTTGAAATCCTTCTTCTTGAAGGTTTGTTGTTGTTGTTGTTGACTGGATTTCCGATGATATTGTTTAATTTTAAGCTCTTTTCCACATGAAGCTATTTCAGTTCATGCTTTAAAAAAGCCTTCTCTCAAGTCATCCCGGGCCTTTCTTCATCATGGTGCTGGGTGCCTGGTGTGGTTCTGAGCTCATTTCTGAGGAGGGAAAGAAGAAAGGTGCTGAGGGGAGAGGGGAGGATCTGCAAGAATTCAGGAGTCTAGATCCTGATTTCAGGGCGTGTTCTCACTGCACTGGTAATATCTGCTTAGATTCAAGATCTAGTTTGTAAATTTTTTTCTTTATCTTTTCCTCACGTAAAGAAGCAGACCCGAAGTCTTTGGAGACTGTACTTGTGTATAATTTCTGACTTGACAATGAAAAAAGTCACTTCGAAAAATGCTTAGATAGTGTAGCATCAAAATAGTTCTGTTCCTATTAACAAGTGTACAATGAACCTTTTATATGTAGAAGGTCATTTCCTCAGTTAGAATGAGTGCCCAATTTTGCCTTAATGTGCTTTATAAAGCCCAACATAAAATGGAATATTTGTAAAGGCCTATTCAGAAATTGTATTCTCTATCCAGAGATTGTAAGAGGGAACCAAAAAATAAGGTAATCTTTTGTATCTCCTTTGTTGTGCCCGAGTTACAATCAGCCACGAATAGGTGACATTTATTAAGCATTCACTGTGTACCAGCAACTTCACATGTAATAATTCAGTCTTTCCAACAACCGCCTGAATTAGGTATTATTAATTCCCTTTTTATGGATGTGGACAAAGTGTCCATCCCTATCTCCCCCACGTCCCCATGCCCTATAACATAACTAAGATTAGTAAATGGTGGAATGAACTCTGAATTCCACTGTTGTCTCTGGAAGGCATGCCCTTGTCCATTGTTCGGAATGCCAGCCACAAAAAAAACTGATCCTTGCTTCATTCAAAATATGCTCCCTAAAGAAATTGTTTACACAGGACTGAGTTGTGTTTTATTCTGATTAAGACGAAGGCACTGTGGCTTGTGGGTAAGAGACCTGTGTTTGCAAATTGGTGCTCTAACTCTGTCATCACCATCATTGCCTATGACCTTGAGAAAATAAGATGGATTAGTTCTCTCTATCTGTGCAAACAATGTGACTGCTTTTTCTGCCTCTCAGAATGCTACTGTGAGAGCAATTTAAATAGAGGCCAGGAAGTGGTTTTGTGGTCTCTCTATACCATCCATGCCCCCTCCCCACAGCCATTCCATTCCATTCCAGATGATTTCCTTCATTTCATTTGTAGAATAAAATAAACCTATTTTACACCCTCCAGTAAACCCATAGGAGACATATTCAACTAAAAGCAGCTGTAATGTGGGCACCACGATGATTTGACAAAATTAAAGTTGAATTAGTCTCCAGATTGGGTGGGCTCCACCTTATCTGTCTCGGATTAGCTGATCTCCACTCAGATCCACTCTGGGAATCAGAGCATCTGCTCTGAAACAGAACAAACGCTTGTTGAGCCAGCTGGCTTTCCTCGCTTGGAAGTTGTGGCTCTGACAAGGGTGGCTCCGTGACTGACGCTGAGGGCCCCTCCTGAGCAGGAGGGCCGCAGGGCCCAGAGGAAACTGTCTGAGACACAGCACCAGTGTTTTCTGCAGCATGACTTGAATATTTGTTTAGTCTGGATTTCTTGGACAGCAGGCCTGTCCTCTGGGACGACTTGAGAACCAGTCTACTCTCCTGCAAGCCTTTGGTCAAAGCTTATGATGGTAATAGTAGTAATATTGTCTGCTATTTTCACCAGCTATACAGGCATTTTACAAAGCTATCTAATTTAATCCTTTCAGTAAATTGACCTCCTAGGAACTATTAACCTCCTTTGATTAGAGAAGGACCTTGAGATTTGGAGAGAGAGATTAACAGGCTGCAGTCACACAGGAGGAGACATTGATAAGGATGTGAATGTAGGATCTCTGGGGCTCTCTCTCCTCCTTCCACCCCAGGCTACCATCTTTACACAGTTTCACTTTCAGCCTTCATTGTACTTGAACAACTTTGCTGTAAACCCTTCGTTGTACTTTCTGCTCCGGAATATTTTTCCCAAGAGCCCACTACCTACCACCCATTGTTGAGTACTTGGGATTTAAAAAAAAAAAAAAACAGGTTTACTTCTCAAGAGAGTTCTAGTCTAGGGCCATTCTTTGGGGCCAGACGACTCTCTGGGGGCCTGTCCTTTGTGCTGTGGAAGGTGAGCCGTATCTGGGCCACTCTTTCCACTGGATGCCACTTGCATCATGACAGTCAATGTGTCTTCAGACATCAATCACAGGGGGGCGGAGTCCTCCCCCCACCCTGAGAGCAGCTGTCCTAAGGGGAGAAGTGAGGTACTCCTGGAAGTGAGTCAGTGGCAGCAAGTGTTGTGTGGGTGAACACTTCAAGCTCACAAGGCGCCCTGCTCAAGGCGGCGGGGCAGGAAGCGCTGCGGGGAGCGGTGCAGCAGGGGGCCCCAGTGATTGTGCTGCTGTAGCTAGCTGTACCTGAAGCACAACTGTTCACACTGTTCCACCGAGGTCTGTAATCCACATTCATCGTCTTCACCCCCTCCCTGGCGAAGCTGAGCATCGCCTCACCCTTATTTTGCAGGAGCAGACTTGTGCTGTTCTGCTTCCAAAGTTGCTTAACAGCAAAAAGCTTTGTGCAGCCTGACGGAATTCCAGAGAATTAAGCCAGTAGGCTGCAGAGTAATGTAGTCGCTGAGCTTAGCGATACAAAGTCTAGTGTAGGTGAAAAGACAACGCATACTGAAGGCCTTTTAATTCCAGGCTGGTTATTTGCAGTCGCCTGGGTCTTTGGCCTGCTCCACTGTAGAACAGTCAAGCAATGTGAAATAGATCAGTCTGCATTTTGTAAGATCAGTGTAATAAACTTAACCACATTTTATCTTTTTACAGATGAATGCAGTATAGAGCATGAATTTTTCTCATCTTCTCTGGCGACATTTTTCCTTCCCATCTGTGGTTTCCTCCTGCTACTCTGTTCCTTCACACCCTATGTTTCTAGGGAAATGAAAGAAAGGCCAACAAATTTGCTGCCACCTGTGACTTGTCCCTAATTCAGACACAGCTGTTACTCTGAAGGGCCTCATGCATCTTGTTAAAGGTAAAACTGAAATGCCCTCTCCACAAAACGGGGCTGGCAAGTGAAAAACATCTAGACACCCAAACATCAGAATTAGAATGAGATTCTTGTGGAAAGCAGGGAAGCTAAGCGAGCTTGTAAAAAAAAAAAAATGCTGAGCATCAAAGCAGGGCCCAGCTCTTTCAAGCGGCTGGATCATACGGTTATTTGAAAGACTGCTTGATACATGACCAGCAGACTTCTGTCCTGGAGAATTCCTACTTGTTCCCTCTGCTTTAAATGTGGCTGGAAGTTCTCCATTGGTTTATCTGTGAAATAGTTTAATGCTAAGTTTACATAGGATCAGCCCTTATCCAACCCTGCATCTGGACAGGTGGTAAAAGTTGTGTTATTTTCTTACATTTTCACACTGGCCACTTAAAGCAAAAGACGTGAGACACGGTCTCTCTTACTTGGGAAAAATAGCTTTTCTGCTTGTTATGGCTTTTATGATACTAATATCAGTAGAGGGAAGGGCATTTTCCAAATTCATGGGTAGTGTTTTCTGTTTAGACTTTAATACCCAGAGCTGCGTAGATTCTGCCTGGTGAACTTGTCTTCACATTTCTCTCCAAAGAGGCAGGGGATTAAGAGCCGTCTCTCAAGGCCAAATCTGGCATTTTTCAAACAGTTAAAATTAACCCTAGGTATAGAAAAACTCAGAAATTTCACTCATGTTTCTTTGTGTTAATTTTTTTTATTGTTATTGTCTGGTATTTGATCTATTCACCATAAAAATTTCAAATTGAGAAGAAAAAATAGTAACTGGCAAATTATTAATCAGAAATGAGACTCAAGTTCTTTGAAAATTCACCCTGTGTAAACTGCCTGGCATATTGCATGTTTTTCACTGATAAATGTGTTTTTCTGAAAAAAATGCAGTGGCAAATGGTTCATCTCTCTGGTGCTTTTTCTAGAGCTTCCTTGACATTTTGTGAAGTGGACTGTTACTGATATACCAATTCATTAACACTAACACACAAAATAACCCAGGTGGTGGGTTTGACAGGGTACTTCAGATACATTTCAGACTTCTGTCTTTGTAGCTGTATCTTACTTTTCCGCTACCCACCACAATTATATTATTGCATAAATGGCTTATCTTTTCTCTGGTGGAGGTAAATTTTTCTTGAAATGTTTTAAATATAGGTATTGCATTAAATAGAATATATACATGGGACTTTTCTTGATATTAAACACAAAATAAGGCTTCCTCCCCATTTTTACATTGATGACATGAACCTGGCTAGGTTTGCATTAACTTTTGATTTTGATATTAAGAAGGAACAAAGAAGACAGCATTTTAAAAAACCTTCTGTGTAATTGCTGGTATTTAACTACTAGGTATCTTTTTGCCCTTTGAGAATGATGTGGCGTGGCTTCACCTTGCTGTATTAGTCAAGGGACTTTTTTTATTTTTAAGAAGTATTAAATACTCAATGATAGTCTCTTTATTAATGACATTTCATGTAAGATCTTAGAAATTACCACCACTAGCTTGATGTTCATTATTTTTCTTATATATGATTAAACAAAACTGTATCAGTCCTTATTTTAAAGCAAGAGTTATGACACCATTTCCCTTTCTTACCCTGCTGGTAAGCAGAAGAGCTATGGCAGGTGAAGATAAGTTAGTGGAAGAGATCAGAAAAGAAACATGATTGAAACAAGCTGTAGTGGGCACCCTAAAAATCAAACCGAAAAACCAAAACATAAAGTACTTTGATCTTGGTGACCACAGCTGCCTCCAAGTGCACGAATAATTTGGCATTGAATTTAAAATGAATGTCAGGCCTGCTAATGTAAGTTTTTCATTTAAAAATTCATGGAAAAGGGGGGCTCTGTCTGGCCTCCAGAGTAGCTATCTAAAACCACATGTCCATGGTTAGATAAGTTGCTGCTGAAGTCACAGCACCGAGAGGGCCATTGTTCTGCAAAGTTTTTAAAAGTGAGAAAGCCACAAACTTCTCAAAGTAAAAGTCACTAGGAGCTGAAAAATAATAGGGCTAGCAAAGATATAATCACCAAGTTAGATGTCATCTGGCAAGTTAGATTCAACTGTTGTTTGACGATTCATCAAGGAGTGGCATATCCCTGATGGCATCCTCACCTGTCTGCAGGATGTCCTTGAATATCAAGTGTCTTTCTATCATACACCAAGAGCTGTTTTTCTCCAGGGAGTAAGGTAGATAATTCCCTGCTTAGCCAGGGTAAGTGTGTCTCTTACGTAATTGTCCTTGTAAGAAGTGACTAAATAGATCCTGGCCTAAGGATGTTTGTGTTCCAGTGGTATTCTAATGCCACGTTTATAGGGTGTTTTACATGCCCAGAGCTTGTAGTAGCACTTGGGACAATTTTGTCCTTATTAAGGCATTTTTCTCAGAGTCATTAAATGAGCAAAATCTACTGCCTATAAAGCTAAAGTGGAATATGAAGGTAAAGCTTAATGAACAAAGCACTCCTTTCTCATCTGACTATATTAGGAGAAACAAGAAAAAATGAGAAATTGCATTGAAAATGCCATACCTCTCTTTAGAAGTGGGGTGCTGTTCATAGAATATGGGGTACTTATTTGGGTGACTCCTTTTGTTTAGATTTATTCATTATTTCATAAGAAAAATAATGAACACTAACCAGAAGCCAGGCTTCTCTTAATGTTTAGGGAGAAGTAGTAATAAAAACCAAAGATTCCTGTTCTGTGGAATTTAAGATTTTCTGAGATATTGGGTCATATGTTTTAGTACAGTCACCTTATTTATTAAAACTTATGACTTTGTGAAGCAAATGTAACCCAAAGCTACAAATAATTTATATGTTATATTAAAATGTACACAATTTCAAAGAAATGCCATTTAAAACTGTTTAAGGAAGGCTAACGATAATATTATTTTTAGACCCGCTTGAGTTAATAATGTGGTGTTTAAATGATACTGAAACTATATTCAGCTTCCAAGTTTTGGTGAATCAACTTCAGGTTCTGTTTGTTATAATGAGAAGTTAAACATCTTATTTGGCCAACTGGAAAAAAAGAACCATACATACATAAGCAGCTTTAAAGACCATACACAGAATGTAAAGGTAACTAGCACATAGAAAGCAGTCAAACACCCATTACCAAACTACGAAAATTCTGTTTCGTAATGCTTCTCTCACCTAGGCCCCTACTGCTGGTGTCTGATCACCAGCTTTCCCCATTTCTTGTACATGAATGAAGCAGTCTTGATATTCAGTGGCTATTAGGGCAGCTTGCTGGAGTCAGTTTCTATTAGCCTCTTTCTTGACTCTGGCGAGATGATGAAGGGCAAGGCCAGGGTACATGGAAGGCAGGAGGCAAGTTCAAGCAGAACAGAAATAGAATGCCAGCTTTGCCCCCATTAAATAACTGCTTTAATTTTCTAATCTTTCCCATCCCAAAACCTACATACCTTCCTTGCTCTGCCAGGGAATCACAGCTTTCCTAACACAGCTATAAAATCCCCCTTCCCCCTAAAGTCTTCAAGTGCCATGTCACACATTCCAGGGCTGCCTGGCTGTGCCATCTGGTCTGAGTCATGAGTTTACTCATTTTACTATGAGGTTTAGCAAGCGAGATTAGGATCCCTAATCCTAGCCCCTAAAAAATACAACAAAAGTAAAATGATGATGTTGTATCAAGAATAATTAAGTTAATCTGCATTTGGGATTATTCTTATGTGTTTCCTGAGTCATGCCTCTATCTGTAAATGAATATGTATAACTCCCGCTACAGGAGTTATCATTGGAGCATGTATGCTCCCCCTTAAACCCACCCCCCTCCCCCACCAGGCCAGGTGTTAGCTAATATGCAAGCAGCTGGTCTCTCTAGTGTGCAGGATGTAGGTAGGGACCGAGAGTGGGACCAGAGAGCTCTGTATCCCAGCCACTGTGGGAGCTCAGCTTCCTCTCTGAAAGAGTGGAATTAGAGATCTGAGCTGCATCCCAAATTATTTTGGACAAACAACTCTGATAACTGAAAATGGGCAACCATGGTTTTCCTGTACCTTCATGCTGGATTAGAGAATCACACACCGACCCTGAACCTGCAAGCCAGGGCTTGCTGGTATTGGAAAAAATGCCATTTAACACACCCATGAGTTAGTGAGAGCTGGTTTACCAGCTGCTCCAATGCAGACCCTAACATGGCAGCACTAGGTTCAACTCTCCAAACAGGTGTGACGCCTTCCTGAAAACCACCTCTTATTAAAGGAGGTTAGCCCGCTTCCTAGTGAGGGTATGTTTAATGCATCAATTCACTATTTACCGAGCCCTTCTTACTTTAAAAGGGAAGTGTTACCTTCCAGAGCACTAGAAATGTAAGGCTCATCCTCATCCTCAAGGACAAACTCCTTAGATTCTCATCTGAAACACTGTGGTAACCCCATCTGACCTCTTGCATAGTACCTGACTTATAGCAGGCATTAGAAATGGATTTGAGCCAACTAAACAGTCCCTGATTTTCTAACCCAGCAATGTAAGAGGAAAAAAAAAAAAACAAACTTGGTTGTTTTTAAAGAATTCATTTTGACAGGTTTTTTGATACATGTATTTATTACACTGTAAAAGCAACACTACCTGATTTCATCTAAAATAAACATTTCCCAATCAGAATACTTACAACTTATACTTTTAAGTTAGATTCACTATGGGAAGTTCTGGAAGCAAAATACATTCATAGCTGGACAATCTCCAGAAGAATCTTTATCCCACATCAGGTCATTATGTCCCTGCCACACAGACATGCTTCGGATGGCTGATAGGCAAATTCAAGCTTTGCAGCTAAGGAGCACGGGCACAGATGACACCCCAAAATGAGATCATTAGAACTAAGACCAGCAAAAACAATGAATGCAAAGGTTTTTGTTTTTTGCTTTTTTTTTTTTTCAAGTGGCCATATACAATTCTCATGACACAAAAAAAGTCCATGATCCTAATGTCAAATCAGAAGTATCTTTGGAGGGTCAACAAGCATTTAAAGCAAATGCACTTGTTAGTACCAGCCAACGGCAAATAGCAAACAGCCAGGGCAGGAACCCAAATCCAGTGATATGTAACCTCACAGGTAAGAGCACATTTAACTGAACCAAAGGATTTTTACAAAAGCTTTAATTTGAGGAAAAAATGAAAATTCTTTGTTCCCAAGTAATAGTTAGAACCTTTTTATTAGCGAACCGCCTTGAAACTATTGGTAATTTCAAGCTACACAACAGAACCATCTTTGTTCCATTTTAATCATACAAAGTAGCTGCTCTCTGAGCACAGTATCTTAACAGATTTCAGTTAAAGAGCATTTACCCCATAATGTCTTTGGGGATAACGCTGTTCAGGTGCAGCATTTTGCAAACCCTCCCTGTCTACGTGGCTTGATGGCGCCTTGGAACCAGCTGCCTACCCACTATGTTCCCCACAGAAGCTCGTGCGTGGAAATGCTTCCCGCCTTTTGTGGCTGAGTTCAGGAACACTGGCAATGGCTATCTCAGTAGAAGGGTGATGGCTCGAGCCACTGACTTAGCTTGGAAGCAAACATCAGAACACCTGGCGGCTGCCAGCTTGAAAAGGAGCCAGCAGGCTTCATAAAGCTTGGCAGCCACAGGGTGTGCAGGTAGAAAAAGCAAGGAATTTGTTCGATGAACGTCACAACCAGCGCAGTGCAGCGGAGGATTTTACTGGTTCCACCAAGTACAGCTTCAGAGAAGTCCATTTGTGTGTGTGTGTGCTTACTGTCAGAAATTCTCGTTAGCGTACCCATCTACCTCCTGAGGTAACAGGATAAAGTGTGTGTGCAGTGAGTCCCGGAGGCAGGTCATGGGCCTCGATTTAAAAGGAAGTGGCCTTTTCTTATTAGCCAATTACAGAGTCCACCAAAAATCAAACACTAG